AATGGCTAGTGATGGTGAACATTTCTTCATATGTTTGTTGGCTGCCCAGATCTCTTCCTTGGTGAAGTGTCTGTTCATGTCCTGTGCCCATTTTTAAATTGGGTTATTTGTCTTTTTCTTGTAGAGGTGTTGTAGTTTCCTATATATTTTAGAAATGAGTCCCTTGTGTGATGTGTGTTGTTGCAAAAGATTTTTCCCATTCTGTGGAATCCCTTTTTTTTTTATGTACATAAGTTTTTAATTTTTAGTATGTCCCAATCATCTACTTTGTCTATGTTTGTTTGGTAGTCTGTGTATTCTCTGAATTAGAGCCCATAAACTGATTGTTAAAAGCTACTGTATTCAGTAATTTTAGGTTGGATGTACTGGGAGAGGCTTCTGTGAACACTAAGTTTTTCATATGACTGGAAATAAAGAAACAATTTTGTTTATTCTAATGTGTACACCATAGGACTCCTGGTGTGATGCTATGGGCTAATGTGTCAGACTGCAAAATCGTTTGTGGAAATCATACAAGGGGTTGGAATTGACTCGACAGCACTTAACCACAACAACAACACTGTGTGGCACTATAGGATAAGCGCTGCACTGCTAACCACAAGGTCGGTGATTCAAATCCACCAGCCACTCCTTGTAAACACTATGTAAGATCACTATGAGTTGGAACTGATTCGACGGCACATAACAATAACACCAATAAACCTTACTTTTGTATAGCACTCAGAGTTCATGGGATGCTCTCCCATACATGAACTTATGAAAACCTCAGCAGCCCTTGGCTTCAGCATTGCTCTGATCATGCTGGACTCCTGGCAAGGCACTGTAGAATAAGCACAGGACTGCTAACCGCAAGGTCGATGTTTCCAACCCACCAGCTGCTCCTTGCAAACCTCATACAGGGTCTCTATGACTCAGAGCTGACTTAACTGATACAACAACACAGCATGGCACACCTGAGACGTACAGGCAAGAGAGCCTAAGTACCAAGACAAGATAACAGCCCGAAATGAAATCAAGTCTCTCACTGCCAAGACCACAGCTCATTCCAAGACCCCACCATTAATCGATGCCATCCATCACCCCTACTGCAGTGATGCCCTGAACTCTTTAAAAAGCAAACATTCTGGAATACAGCAGTTAGGCCACAGGCAGTAGACAGCAGGGCTGCTATGTGAGACAGTCCACATAACATCATTCAAACAAAGGTTTTCTGGGTCTCAATCCTTCTTACCTTACAAGCTTGGTTCCATTTCTCACAACTTGCATGTCCACCATACAGCCCCCGGTCACATAGGCAGCTAGGTTCAACTCTGAGAATTCAGCCTAAAGAGGAAGCAAAACAGAAAAGAATTCATCAACTAGCAATGATGAAAATCACTCCCATTTCTTTTGTATGGCAGGTACCAAGCAGAAATGTAAACAGCAGTTCAATAGGAAGCTGGTAACGTTAGTATCTCCCTTTCTGAAAGATGAGTAACCCGAAGTTCACAGAAGTTTAGGAACGTGTCCAACGCTGCAAGATTAATAAAAGGCAAAATTGAAATTGAGACTCAGATCTTTCTGGTTCAAGGGCCCATGCTTTTATCCACTATTAATTTCTGCTTCCTCAAAGGAAGAGAAAGCATCGGTACTTCCATGACTATGAAGAGATTGAAGGACGTCAATACAACGTTTTCTCTAGAGCTCTTCAGCTGCATGCTAGGCAGGGATGGCATCTCAGTGATGGAGCAGACTCCTCCTCAGAAGAGCTGCTCAGTATTCCTTTATGTGCTAATGGTCCCTTTCCTCACACTCCATCAGGAAAGCTACAGTAGAGACAGTGTTTGTGTACTAACATACTGCCCCTCCCTGGGCACAAATGATGAGGTAGGGATCTGACTTAGGATGGAGGGATCAGGTACCATCCCCTGAGAACTGAGAGATACATGTGGTTTCTTTGTAAGAAACCAGTTGCTAATACATCCGTTCTGACTCATACCTACACTACGTGTGTCAGAATAGATCATCGTTCTCTGGGTTCTTAATGACTGACTTTTGAAAAGCAGATTGCCAGGGCTTTCTTCTGAGGTACTGTTGGGTGGACTAGACCCTCCAATCTTTCATTTAGCAGTCAAGTGTGTTAGCTTTATACTATCCAGGGGTTCCTAGTTTCTTACTAGGTTGTTGTTGTTACATGCCATGGAGTCGGTTCTGACTCATAGCAATCCTGTATAGGGTTTCCGAGGCTGTAAATCTTTACAGGAGCAGAAAGCCTCATTTTGCTCCCATGGAACAGCTGGTAGTTTCGAACTGCTGACTGTGAGGTTAGCAGCCTGATTCGTAACCACTACGCTACCAGAGTCTTACTAGGTACGTTACTATGTATCATCGAGTTTGTTCCAACTCATAGTGATCCTGTATAGGGTTTCCAAAACTGGCTGGTGGGTTTGACCTTGTGGTTAGCAGTCCAGTACTTGCAGCACCACACCTGTATTCTATCTATCTAGGTAGATGTAGTTGTTGTTGTTAAATGCCATTGAGTCAGTTACAACTCATAGCAATCCTGTGTAAGGTTTCCAAGGAGCAACTGGTGGACTTGAACTGCAGACCCTGTGGTTCAAACTGACCTTGTAGTCCAGAGCAATAACCCACCATGCCACACCAGGACACCTAAGTGGTGTTGTTAAGTTCCGTCAGTCGATTCTGACCCATAGGGACCATGTACAGGGTTTTCGAGGAGCAAGTGGTGAGTTTGAACCATCAACCTTGTGGTTCATACCAACTTTGCAGTCCAGCACATTAACACACAGCACCACACCAAGACTCCAAGGTATACATATAATATACATATAATATATAATTATATATATAATAAGCTCTGGTAGCGTAGTGGTTATGAATCGGGCTGTGAACTGCAACATCAGCAGTTCAAAACTACCAGCCGTTCCATGGGAGAAAGATGAGGTTTTCTGCTCCCATAAAGATTTACAGTCTCGGAAATCCTGTACAGGGTCACTACGAGTTGGAACTGACTCCATGGCAAATAACAACAACAACAACAATTAATTATAGACAGATATATAACATTAGTATAAGTTCACTTATGAAAATCAAATTGTAGATCACAGTCATATACTTGGGACTCTAAACTACAATACTAAGATTTGTCATGTGTGACTCATATCATTTGACAAAATACTTCATTGATTTAAATAACTCTACTATACTTTCCATAGTCCTGGTGTGGCGCTGTGGGTTAATGCGCCAGACTGCAAAGCCGTTTGAACTGCAAGGTTGGTGGTTCAAGCTCACCAGCTGCTCTTTCCGCTATGGATGGAAACTGACTTGACGGCACTTAACAACAACAACAACAACTGTATTCTCCAAGTACCATAAGAAAACATAGGTAATGTTTTAATGTTGTTGTTGTTGTTAGGTGCCAT